CTAAAATAGCTGCCCAGCAGCTGTCTTTTCAGCAGGGGCTTGATTGGGCCAACCTCCATTTTAGAAGCTGTATTTATGGAAGTTGTACAATAGGCATTTGGGATTTTCCCTGCACAAATGCTTGCTTAAATAGAATTATCTATACTATTTCTTTTAACACAAAAAGATATAAAAAAGATATAATTATTCATTTGAAAGTCAGAGGGAGAGAGAGATATTGCATCTGTTGGTTCATTTCCAAGATGGATGTAATAGACAGGGGTGGGCTATACTGAAATCAGGAGCCAAAAGCCAGGCGTCAAGAGCCAGGTCTCCCATGATGAGTAGTAGTAGGCCAAGCACTTAGGCCAACCTCCAGTGCTTTACTCAGGTGCATTAGCAGGGAAATGGATTGAAAGTAGAGCAGTAGAGACATGAACTGGTATCCTTATGGTATGACCATATTGCAAACAATGGCTTTGCCAACTAGGTGACGATATCAGCCAAATATGGTTTCTTAGTGAGAAAAGGTGATGTTCATTCTATTGGCACAATTTTGCTAAAAATTCAAGTGATGAAAAATATGATATATGCTATTAATGATCCTTTGAGAGAAGCTCAATATATATGTGAAAATTTTGGTTGCTACTCATCTTAGAAACATTTTTTATAAACTAAACAATAAGTAGTATTATAAAATAGTTTTACCTCTTCAAACTTCTCTTCCAGTGCTTAAATACTTCGATAGCATCCACATCAAGATGGAATTCTCATCCTCTTATAGTGCAAATACCTCACTTTACCTGGGAGTACACCTATGCTGGAGGGAGCACTTCCATCCTTGGACAGGCCTGGAAATTAATTTTTTTCCTCTTTGCAAACAACACTCTACCCACTATAGGCAATGGATACAGTGTATGCTAATACCATGTGTCCCATGGCATTGTTCTAGGAACTTGAGCAATATTACTGAACAAAACAAATCTGTGCATTTGCAGAGCTGATACTCTATCCTAGAAGTGGGAGACAGTGAGAAAGAGAGAGAATGATAAAAATAGTAAATCCTGGGACTGTACAGTTGCATAGCACACTAAGCCTCTTCCTGTGGTGCTGTATCTCTTGTGGACACCAATTTGTGTCCTGGCTGCTCTACTATAAATCCAGCTTCCTGACAATGCTCTGGGAAAACAGTGGAGAATGACTCAGATCCCTAGGTTCCTGCACCTGTGTGGGAGAACGGGAAGAAGCTCCTGGATCCTGGCTCATAGCTTCGAATCAGCTCAGCTCTAGCCATTGCAACCATTTTGGGAGATGACCTAGTGAATGGAAGATCTCTATCTCTCCTTCTTTCTATAACTCTGTCTTTCAAATAAAAATCTAACAAATGTTAAAAAAAAATAGTAAGCCAGCCAACATGCAACAAAGTGACAGACACTATGAAGAAAAAAAGAAAAGAAAAAGCAGAGTGAATAAAAGAGGTTGAGGGAGGAGGAAAGAAGTATAATTTGAAGTGTAATAACATCGGCCATTGTACAAAGGCTGAGAGATGAGAGATTAGTGATGTTGTCCAGATGCTCCCAAGTCCATCTCTCTCTACAGCTTTGTTAATACAGCTCCCTGTTCACACCACAGACCTGAGGAATGGTAATAGTCGCCATAAGTGCTGCACATCTTTGCAATTCTGGCAGAATTAAGGCATTGCTCTTTTTGAACTCATTAAATCCTCAGGGCAGCAACAAGGAAGATCAATGCAACAGGATAGAAACCCCCAAAGTGAGTCCACACATGTACAGCTAACTGATCTTTGGCAAGAGAACTGAAAATAATTCAGGGAAAAGGTTGGTCTATTCAACAAATGCTGTTGAGACAACTGGAGAGCAGCCTGTGAAGAAATGGACAAAGGAAATGAGCAGGCATTTTTCAAATGAACAAATTCAAAAGGCTAATGGACATATGAAAAGATACTCAGGCTCCTTAGCTATCAGGGAAATACAAATAAAAGCCACTTTGAGATTCCACCTAACTCTAGTGAGACTGGCCTACATTTGGAAATCTACTAACAACACCTGCTGCAAGTGGATGTGAGATAAAATGTACTGTCCCCCACTGTTGGTGGGAGTGTAGACTGGCGCAGCCACTATGAAAGTCAATATGGACAGTTCTAAGAGAACTGAAAATGTATTTACTGCATGACCAAGTCATCCCACTTTTGGGAATATATCCAAAGGAAATAATTCTGCATATGAGAAAGTTACCTGCAATCCTATATTTATAGTAGCACAACCCTCAAGAGCAAACACATGGAAACAACCCAGATGCCTGTTGAAATAGGAATTGATAAAGAAACTGTGGTACATCTACTCCATGGAATACTACCCAGCCACTGGAAAGATTGAAATTCTACCATTTGCAACAAAATGGTCCCAACTGGAGACCATGATGCACAGTGAAATAAGCCAACCCCCAAAAGACAAATATTGTATGTTCTAATAGAAGACAACATCCATGCAAAATACAAAACAAATAATTATACAGGTAAACATGCACATACATATATTCTCATAGATGAACTCCATAATGGACACTAGCATACTGGCAACTGAAGGTCTGTATCTCCATTCCCAAATAAAAGGAGGTCTCCCAATGAGACTTAAAAATATACCTTGATGATATGATATTAGATTTTCCACTGTTGCCTATGCCTACAATGTTCATGATACATTTAAAATACAGAATGTTGGACCTGTGGCTATTATTGAATGACTTACTATTATAATACTACAAGGACAGATGGCCAACAGAGGAAAAACTGGGAGAGAGGAAGGGCAGATGGAGGAAGAAATTCCTATACCTACAAAAATGTATCACAGAAAATAAGGTTTTTTTTCCTTTATTTTTGATAATCTTTACATAGTTAATTAGGGCACAAAGCTTCAAAGGCTACAGGAAGTCGGTAAGACTATCATTTCCACATTTTTTAAAAAAGATTTATTTATTTATTGGAAAGTCAGATATACAGAGAGGAGAAGAGACAGAGAGGAAGATCTTCCATCCAATGATTCACTCCCCAAGTGAGCGCAACAGCCGATGCTATGCTGATCCGAAGCCAGGATCCATGAACTTCTTCCGGGTCTCCCACGCGGGTGCAGGGTCCCAAAGCTTTGGGCCATCCTCGACTGCTTTCCCAGGCCACAAGCAGGGAACTGGATGGGAAGTGAAGCTGCCAGGATTAGAACCAGCATCCATATGGGATCCCAGCGCATTCAAGGCGAGGACTTTAGCCGCTAGGCCACTCTGCCAGGCCCCACATTTTCTTTTTTTTCTGTATCTGGGGTAAAGGAGGAGATAAAGGGAGAAGCCCCACCCAGTCTCCCACCCATCGCAGGTCCCTGATGTGGGGCATGCTCCGAGGGTCTTGCTCAAGTGGTTTTGACAGTTCAACAGTTCTGAATTGCTGCCAATCTCACCATTCCAAGCACGATGAGGTCGCTGCGGAATCCACTGATTGACACATTCCACCTTAGAGTCTCCGTTAGCCCAGTCTTTCACTGCCAACATATGGCTGGGGTAGTTGATTCATTTGTTCCTTCCTCTGTTGTGGTGCCAGGTAACCTCTGCAGGTTCCGATAGACCGCCATATCCTCCATGTGCAGCTGGTTATGCTCTCCACTGCTCCGTCTGAGCCTCTTAAGAGGCTCTGGCACTTGCATTCCAAGACTGACCATGGAAACCAGCACTTCTCTTCCTGGTTAGGGTTCTGAATCAGGCAGTTCGAGTGAGGGAGATCCCCACAGAAACTTTGTCTGAGGTGATCCCAGACCAGATTCTAGTGTGTACTTGCAAGTACAGGGCCCGGTACAGTCTATCACCCCATCAGCTGGTCGTTTTAAAAAATCCTCATAGCAATTCCAAGTCCTGGCGACTTGTGTCTGCATCTGCTGCAGAGTCAACCAAGGCATAGTGAAGTGGAGTATGGTGGATAATGCAGGAGCGGGTGAGGAAGAGGGGGTGGCAGTCTCTGGCTCCAGGCTTTGGCTCTTCCCTTGGACAGCTGCTTTGACGCAGGGCCCGTGCCTCCCATTGTCTGTGACTCCTAGGATGGTAACATTTAAAGTCTTTCCTCTCCTGGGGTTTTCTGTGGAGAAGCCTTTCCTTTTATCTAATGTCATGGGATAAATGAGACACCCACGGTGTCCAAAATAAAAACGAATTGTACTTCCTTTTGGCATAAAAAGACACATACTTGAGTACTTTTAAAAAGTTGGTGGAAGATGGTATTAAAAGATAAAATAGTTTAGTGCAAAAATGTATGAAATCCATGCATAATTTTTTTTCATAATATTCGTTTCTACAAGCTTTTTGAGGACCCTTCATGTGTGTGGATTTAAAAATATTTTTGCAACCTGATAGGCTAATACGCTTATCTTTTAATGTGACTTTTTATGCACTTTTCAAGTGCCCTTACGTGTATTTTTCTTTAACAAATGTCGCTGTGGTTTCCAAGCCAATGTGTGATATGTAAGCGTGCAGCCTTTTAAAAAGTTATTTCCTGCTCAACCATAGGATGAAATTATGCAAGCCAGCGACTCTTACAAACAGCTGCATCAAATTCTCAACACCTGCTCTCCCCCCAACCCCGCCCAAGAAACAGCCTTCAAAATAATTTTACATTGTTTTTAATGTTTGGTTGGCTTTCTGTGGTTTCAAACTTTGGGGTGAAAAAAAAAAACTCCCTCTAATTCATTAAAGCAGCAGTCTAAAGAGAAGTTAGGAGCTTCAAAACAGTTTTGGAAATCCGAGGCAGAGGCTGATTTCGCTTGAATTACATTTCTATGAATGCACTCGAAACACCTTCTGGAATTGGCATATTGTTGCTTAAGGAAAACAAAAAAACTTCAAGTCTAGTCTTTTACTCTGCCGGTCCAAGACGCAGAATCAGCTCTTGGCTTGTTGGCAGTTTCCCGTCTTGGGGTCAGGGAGGTGGGGGGGGGGGGTGGGGGACGGGAGGGCGGAGGACAGAGCTCGTCTCTTTTGAAACCAACGCGGCACGCAGCTCCCTTGACCTGCTGCATCCTCCTCGACCTTTTCAGTCAAAGAACTTGGATTTCCTGATATTGTTGCACTGGACGCAAGTGCAGGGGCCCTCTCCCTCTCGCCGCTGCCGGGTGAGAGCGGCGGCAGGGGCGGAGGTGAGTGTTGGGGGTGAAGTGGAGTGAGGGACCTTGGAGAGAAACTACCGCGAAGTGGTTGGGACAGAAACGGCGGGAGGGGGAGGAGGCCGTGAGTTGAGAGAGGAGGGAAACGTGTCACCAGCCGGCCTCTAAGAGTTCCGCGGCCCGAGTATTTGCTGACTTTCGCCGGAGAGGCACTAAGGCTGAACCGGGCCCCGCGGAGCTGGGACCGCAGGGAGGGCGAGAGCGCGCGGCGGAGCGCGGCAGCCACAGCCCCTGCAGGTTTCTCGATTCTCTCCGGTAAGAAAACTTTCTCGGGAAAACGGGAAACTTTTTTTTTTTTTTTGCCGGGCCTGCGGAGTGTGGGACGGAGGCGAGTGGCTTGTGTGCGCGCCTCGAGGTGACTCACGCCGGGGACCCCAAGGGTGTGAGTGGGGAAGTCCCCGGGAGGGCCAGAGTTGCGGGCTTAGCCATTCACACCAGGGAGAAGCTAATCTCCGGGCACGATCAGGGGGCGCATAGTGGCTGACTGGGGCAAGCGTCCTATCCGGGGTTGGGGGTGCAGCCTGGAAGGGTCCCTGCATCTTGTTTTAGGATCCCGGGGTTCAACGCTGCAGGCAGGAGAGCGAGACCTTGGTGTGGCGGGCTGGCGGGGGCGTTGTGGAGGGCAAGCCGTGAGCTTGGTGGACGGTTTACGGTGGGCGAGTGTCCCGTGTGGGTGGAAAGGAGGATGATGTGGATCGTGCCAGGAGATCAAAAAGGAAAGTTTACTTTTTGTCTTTCTCGTTCTTTTTGGGCCTGGGTGGCAATCCCAGAGAACCCGTCCTCTATACCCAGCCTTTTCCCGGCCATCCGCTGGTTTTCTAGAGGGAGGCGTGGAAGAGAAGGAGGTAGGGAGCCGCTTTGTCCCGCGCGCTGCTGGATGTACAGGCTCTGAGGCCAGGGCGCACTGGGCGCAACTCGGGGCAGACCCGGACGCGAGGAAGCCCTGGGACCGCTCTCCTGCGCGGGCGGAATCCCCTTTCCGTTTCATCTTTCGCGGCCTCTCCAGGGGTTGGTGAGGCTTTCCCGTGCGCGCCTACTGTGCTCGCAGAGCCGGCTCACTGGGGGAAGAGGGCGCTCCAGAGCCCCCACGTGGGCCGCTTGGACAATTCCTTCCCAGCCCACCCCCCTTATCATTCTCTGGGGGCTGCTGCCGGGGAGGCGGGGCGATCACTCCAAACTGTGCTTTCTGAGTTGTGCTTCAGAAACAGCTTGGGGATACCTTCCCTGGTTGGCGAGAGGGGTTTTCCCCGGCCTTGCCCACTCCTAGCACTCTATCTCAAACCACCGCCTCTTCCCCCTCGGAGCCGGGATCCGACGTTTTGTTTGTCAGCAGAAAGGCAGCAAGTATTTATAGAGGCTGCTGCGATTCTGCGGTGTGCAAGGTTTCAATTACAGTCCTGCGATGCGCCCCACCGGACGGAATGCGCACGCGCAACGGTTCAGCCGCACTCCCCTCTGCTCCGGAGATCCGCACACAAAAATCCTGACTGGTAGCTCTGGACATCCCTGCCTGGGCGGGCTTGAGCTGTTGTTGCCCAGAGGAGATGTGCAAATGTAGATGACCCAAGTTAAGGCCCAAAGCAGGGCCTGGGGAACGTCTGTGTCCTCCCCTACTCCCGCCCGGACCACTCGCTGGTGTAGATACGGATTTTACTCGTTTTTGAACTCCTTGTGGTGATATGGACCACCGCAGTTCGCATGATGAGATTTCCCTGCGTTGCACAGGGCAGATTGCCCCCGCGTTGAGCCCCTCAGGTGGAAGGCGCTGCTGCTGAGCACACGAAGCAGCCAACTGGCCAGAAGGGGAAATGGAATTTGCAGCAACTCTTGCAGCCACATTTTAAATTTAGCGGCGGTGAGGAGCTAGGAAGGTGTGTGCGTCTGCCTGCTCTGCACAGGTGCTTTTTGAGCTCGAGCTTCAGGTCAAGGATGCAGTTCAGAGATGTCTGTCGAAACTGGCTTGCAGATGAAGAAAGCAGGGCTTGGTCAGTCCACAAGGCTGGCTGGTGCTTCAGCCCCAGCCACCATTCTTTCAGTGTTTTATTGATGCTTGTAACAACTGGACCAAACAGTGTGTAAAACAAAGTCAGGCTAACTAACCTTTCAGAGCTTTGTTTGGACTGGCTTTTTTCTCAAGGGTGGGAACTCATTTCGTTCAGGTCCAGAGGGCTGAAAGCCTCCTCCGTGGATGGGATTTGAGGAATGTGCCTCATCCGGAAACATTACCCAATGTTCCCCTTCCATATGAAAGGGGAGAGTGCACACCTCTCTGGGGAGTCCCGTGACGCCTTAAACTTTGCCCTTTAGAGACTTTGATAGCTCCTCCTGCAATCCTCACCAAGACACTGATGGGAGTGTCGGGATGATGCCACCATCGATGCCACTATCATACAGGTGAGGCCACTGAGGCTTAGAGAATTTCAGTCCTTCGACTCACACACTCCGGGATGCAGCTGAGCACGGATTCTAAATTTGTGAGATGGCAGTGTCTTCCCCTTCGATTGTTGATTTAATGGTGAATTGAATTGATAACTTTTTTTTATGTTCTGAAATGTTATGGAGTGGCTCACTTGAAAAAAGCAACAAGGTTGTCTCTTAAAAACTGTCACATGATGTGAAAATCTGCTGGTACCCACCCTTCAGTTTGTCCGATTATTTCATTTATGTTCCATGTTTAAGTCATTTATCTGTAGAGAATTGAAATCGGTATGCATTTGGTGGGTTTCTCCTTTATTTTTCCTCTTCGGGACTTCTTGTCTCCTAATGATGTTTCAGAGTGTATGTGTCTGTCTGCCTACTAATTTTCCATTGCCCTTCCACAAAATCAGCTCAGCTCTGGCAGTTGCAGCCATTTGGGGAGTGAACCACTAGATGGAAGGCCTTTTCTCTGTCGTTTCTTCTCTCTGTAAATCTGCCTGTCAAATCATGAATAAATAAATATTTCAAAAGAAAAAAGTAGATGTCAAAATGTGCAATGAAATGCCTTCTTTGAAATTGGGAGCCAGGGGCCTCTTCTGGGTCTTCCATGTGGGTACAAGTTTGCAAGGCATGGGCCCTCCTGTGCTGCTTTTCTAGGCCATAAACTGGATTGGATATGGAACAACCGAGACAGGCACCCGTCTCCATATGTGATCCTGCCACAATAAAGTAGAGGACTAGCCTATGAAGCCACACACCAGTCCCTAATCTTCACTTTTGAAGGCTTTCTATGAAGGATCTAGTGTCCCAAATTCCCCCAAAAGGTCCCTAGCAGCTCATATGGAAGTTTCTGGATTAGAAAAGGCAATGCTAGAATGGGAACTGGAGGGACTGTCTGGATAATGATGATAGTAGCCCTTCCTGAGAAACAGAGTCAGGCCCTTTGTATGCTCACAGTGTAGGGAATAAGCAGCACTGGCCTGGGAGAAGATGCCTGTCCTGTTGCAGAAAGAGCTGGCCAGGACAGCCAGAGGGAGCTTCCCAGAGTGGATAAGTGGGGAAATCAGTAGCTTCTTCCCCCCTAGGAGGCCTTCTAGTATGCAGTCCTGGTTTACAGTCTATGTGAATTTAGGGAGCCTGTGAGACCATTCCCACTTTAATTGGACTTGGCCCTTTGAGGCAAGAGTCACTCGATCTCTCTCTTTAAATATTCTTTTCTTATGCTTTGCCAGTTTATGGCCTTTGTAGATCACCCTTGGATTTCATTTAGGGGAAGGAGAAAGAGAATAAAAAGCAAAGGTTAGTGATTACCTAAATTGGATTAAGTTCTGTCTAGAAGCCTTTAAAGAAATACTGCTTGCTCTCTAATTACCATCAACTAGGAATTTAAACGGTCTATTAAATTTAAGCTTTTTCTTCCCCCCAACTGACTATGTTTCTAGCTGTAACGTATTCTGGGATTTTAGAGGCTTTTATGTTTTCTTCAAAATGTGTGGAGAATACTCTGCCCCCTCCCCATCCTTTGTAAAATGTTATATTTCTGTAATCGAATAATAAATGTTATCCTGATGTCCTGGCTTCACAAAGAGCAGAAGCTCATGGCCAGGGTCGGCTGGCTGTGTCAGCCTCAGGAGACCTACTTTGAAGTGAGTTAGCCCTGAGGGGGTTAGGAGGATGGTGGAGCTCACCCAAACCTTTCTCTCTCTGTTCCTCTTTTGGCAGAGGCCTATGGGAAGACCTGGGTAGTGTCCATTGCAGTCCCTGCCTCCTGCCATTGCGCACACACTGTCCACACAGCCTACCCTAACCCTTTGTGCCATTTACATTGCATGCAGTTCTGTGTTGTATAAAATTAAGTATTTACTTGTGGATTTTTCTCTCGGCTTTCCTTCTCCTTCCCTCCTCTCGTTTGTGAGATGTCAGGGTCCAGTTTCTCTTTTGCACACATTGGTGTTCAGGTTTCACTTTTCTCGTTGCCACAGGTGAACCATACCTCCCTTTTCTCACTTCTCTCCTTACTGACTTGGCCACAGAACCTTCTCCAGCTTTGCGAGTTCTTTTCCACACAAGCTAAGCCCTGAGTTTTGTTGAAGTCATTTCAGATAACTTGGCTTTTCTTCTTCCTTCCTTCCTTCCTTCCTTCCTTCCTTCCTTCCTTCCTTCCTTCCTTCCTTCCTTCCTTCCTTCCTTCCTTCCTTCCTTCCTCCCTCCCTCCCTTCCTTCCTTCCCTCCTTCCTTCCTTCCTTCCTCTCTTCCCTCCTTCCTTCCTTCCCTCCTTCCTTCCTTCCTCCCTTCCCTCCTTTCTTCCTTCCCTCCCTCCTTCCTTCCTCCTTCCCTCCCTTCCTTACTTCCTCCATTTTGTCCTGCTTCTCTTCCTTCTCTCTCTTTCTCTCTCCTTCTAGTTCTCTCTTCCTTCCTTCTGTTCTTTCTTTCAAATATTTATTTCATTTCAAAGGAAGAAAAAGAGAGGGAGAGAGAGAGAAAAGTCTTCCATTTGCTAGTTCACTGCCCAAATGGCTGCAGTGGTTGGAGCTGTGCTGGTCTACAGCCAGGAA